ATCCAATCAGATGATGGATATGATAGCACTTTATAAGCTCCTAATTGGTAAGCCAAGGTTAACAAGATATTTTCTGGAGGTAACTGCGTAGTTGAGGGATTAGACCCTGAGTATGGCATCACTGAAACCATTCCTTAACCAGAATTTTCTAAGAAACCTCCTGAGAGTTCACACTTAGGCATACAGCCATGGTTCAAACTCGGCTTGATGTGGCTCCAAAGCTAAGGTATCTGCCATAGGACAACCAGCTTCTCCTAGACTCCTCAGGGCTTTGATTGCTGCGGCCAAATCTTTCAAGGAGGAAATAAGGTAGCATTTTGTTGTTGTTGTTTTGTTAACTAATGGTCCTTGGATTTAACTCTCATATAAACATAAGGAAAGTGAATAAGTTTATTTCCACATGTTTCTAGAGGATCAGAAGACAGTGCTGAACTGTGACCTCAGAAGGAAGAGGGCAGAAAAGCTAACACTGACCAGGCAGCTGCTATGTTGCAGATCCCTAGCTGGACCTTAACCCATGATATCTCCCTCCCCCTTCGGATGACATGTATTACACACACACACACACACACACACACACACACACACACTTAAAAACAGGGTTCAAAGAGGCTAAATAATGGATCTCTGGTTACACAGTAGAGAAGGAAAAGAGTCAGAATTTAAAACCAGGTCAGGCTCCAAAGTTAGTGCTCTTCCTACCACACTAAGCTACCAGACAGCGCCCACTGAAAAACTCTAGGCAATGCCCCCAGAAACATCTTCATGTGCTCATCCTAGGACATATACCTTTACCACAGTCTTCTCCTGGGTGGCCTAATGCTGGGTTTACCCATAACAAGAAGTGTGTCAACCGTTCTCCCCTTTGATGGCAGGTAACGAACCTGAAAATATACATTCTCGTCCTTCATCAAATTCCACTCCTGGAACAGGCACCGTTTGACAAGCTGTATGTGTAGTGACACAATCCAATAAAAATGAAATGAAGAAAACAACTTCATTTCTTACTACTTTCAAGCTTTCCCTTATTTGAATTGTGAATACTCCAGTTACATCTCATACATGGCCTGTGCAGAAATGCATTTTATGGTGAAATGTGCCCCTTTGTGACTTGTATTGGAAACTATCTGACTTCATTTCAACAGCCTGGGTTAAAGAACCAGGGTGGTAGGTTTGTGAGAAATTCTAAAGGGCCTCTTAACTTTCTTTATGCCACTCTCCCTCATGATAGATAACCCACATGGTCAGGTATTCTTTTTTAGGAAATAAAATATCTGCCCCAGGAACCATCTAAATCTTGCCAAAGGGGGAAAACTCTTCTAGCCTGTAATATCATGTAATAATCTGAGTAATGTCAAATAACACACAAAAAAATAATGTGAAATAAGAAAGCAGGATACGAAATTGTATGAACAGTATGATCTCAAACACATATCCTGAAAAGGCAGTCCAGAAGGAATTAATTTAGAATGAGAACAGCAGTTATTTTTGATTAATGGTAATATTCATGCTTACTTTGTTTCTTTTAATTTTCAGTAATAAGCATATGCAGCTTTTAAAAAGTCAAATGAAATTACTAAAAAAAAAAAAGAAAAACATACATTTTTCCAGAAAGAGGCTTAAATATTACTCAGTTTCCTTAGCAACAAAACTCATTGTATGAAATTATAAACTTTAAATTTTTTTTTCAACATTCATTTATTTTTGGGACAGAGAGAGACAGAGCATGAACGGGGGAGGGGCAGAGAGAGAGGGAGACACAGAATCTGAAACAGGCTCCAGGCTCTGAGCCATCAGCCCAGAGCCTGACGCGGGGCTCGAACTCACGGACCGCGAGATCATGACCTGGCTGAAGTCGGACGCTTAACCGACTGCGCCACCCAGGCGCCCCGAAATTATAAACTCTAAAATACCAGGCACAAAGATTGTTCAAGAAAAGAAAGTTATATGCTAATCATGCTGATGAATAGAGATATCAAAGTTAAATATCAACAAATCAAATCCATATACAGAAAATAATACATCATGAACGAATAGTATTTACCTCAAAAAAATGAAGATTAGAAAAATGCAACAGTAAAATCTACCACAATATAAATTATGAGGAAAAATATGTAAATCATTTAAATAAATTTAGAAAAAGCATATGATAAAATTCAACCTGCAAATTCAGGATTTATAAAAAAATACTTCCTAGACAACGATACATGAATGAAAATAAAAAAAATCTCTAGTAAGAATTTAAATATCACACTTACATGAAACTTTAAAGCATTTATATTAATTAAAGATCAAGTTAAGGATACCTACGATCACTAAATACTGTACTGACTGACCCAGCCAATGCAATAAGACAAGAAAAAGACTAATTACTTAAGGGTTAGAGAGGAAGATAGAAACCTACCTAAAAGGCTCTATGTTGCTTCCATGGAAAATCAAAGAGGAGTTGGAAGAATTAGTTAAAAAGTTTAGTATACAGTATTATAATCAAGATTCAAGATCAATAAATAAACTGTTAATATTTCCTTTTCAAGTTCTACTTATTTTGATCCAGTCAGCAACATTTGCTTAATGGAATACTTAGTGTTCGACAGTGGAAACTGAAGAAGACAAAATAAATTAATCCTGTTACAGACACATTCTCTCTCTTTTTTAAATGTATGTACGTGCTTTCATGGTGCCTTGACTCAAATAAGTATATCAAGAATGCATATTGTTCATCACTGTTACATAACTACAAACAATTGTAAAATCTTACTTCAGGACAAATCAGCTATGTACTTTTTAAGATCCCCTTGTTCTAGAATGGGATAGGAGACAATAATATAATATAGATAATGAAGAGGATGAATATGAAGAAGAGGAAAATGAGGGGGAGAGAGTAGAAATGGGAGATGAGAAATAAAGAAAAGGGAAATGGAGAAAGATGACAGGGAAGAAAGGGGGCAAGAAGAAGTAAGGAGAGAAGGATAAAGGGGAAAGGGAAGGAACAAGAGAAAAGGAAGAGGAAAAAAAAAGTAAAGGTGATTTTTTGATCCTGTAATACACCAAGTACTATACTAAGTATTTAATTCACCTTATTTCAACCATTCTTCATAGTAAGCCTGTGAAGTCTGTAATATTCTATCTTTATTATAGGAGAGAAAACGGAGGCTCAAAGAGGTTAAGTAACATTCTAAGGTCATACAGTTAGGAAGTGGCACAGCTAGAATTTGAATCCAAGTCAGCCTGCCCAGACTCCATGGTATTGGCCACTCACTAGCAGATACTCCTTGCATATGTATCATGCTGATTTTAGAACCATGTAAGACATTAAGATGAGGAGGTTCTAAAAAGGTCACCTTCATGCTCCCATTCCAAATCTTCAACTGAGCCAATGTTCTGGAAACCTGAATCCTTTCCTTAGGATGCCCCTCGTTTTGCATGTTAAGATTAAGAATGAAAAGATATGCAGTAAGATACAATTCTTAATATATTAAGCATTCAAGAGCACAAGTTTCGTGGAAAGGTTAAATCTGAAGCAAAAATATAAGTATCAGTTTTCACGGAAAAAGCATTTGAATTCTAGTACGCATCATGGTCTGCAATATTCCCCCCACCCGCTTCCCGTGTAGCAGTTCTCCCAAGACCTGTTTTCTCACCCACTTGCTTTCCTCCTGTTATTCTCAGCCCATGATGCATAAAGGTTTACATTAAGTTTTAGAAAATAAAATAGACTACTTCCAAAATATCTGTGTTTCAAGTAAACATCCAAAGCAAAATTTACAATCCTTCCTGAGGTTTTGGCTGTCCAGGAGCTGCACATGTATTACATTTATGTCCTGTGCTTCCTACAGAGTGTCAGACACGTGTCATCCCAAAACATGACCGGACCGGCACAGCAGTGTCTCAAAACAAATCACTGCCTATACAAAGCAACTAAGTGCATCCCGGTTGGCAAGTCCGTATTGACAGATTTCAACACCTGAAAGAGAACTCTATTAATCCTCTTCCATGCAGCTCAGAAAATGGGGGAGAGAAAGAGCTGAAACCACAGGGAACAGGCATGCACACATGTGTACACACACACAGCATGAAGTTGCTTACACCTAATTTAAACCAGGAGACAAACACACTGAAAGGCATGGTCATAAAGCCATAGGGCCAAATTCCCCGGAAAACCTGAAAAGTGATAGAATTACTTTATGATCAACCTGTGCGTGCCAGTCCTCATTAAAAGATACGTATGTGACTCCTCTGGGTCGAGCACTTTCTAAGTGTTGGAGTTAAAGGGTGAATGAGAGGCCCAGTTCTGAAGGAATATATAGTACAACTGAAAAAAACACAGGGCATTTTTAATAAAGTGAGATACTAACGAAGTGTTATTGCAGCAAAAACAAAATAAACCAACCCCATGTGGGGAGTAAGGTAAGTACTAACCTGAAGAATAAGAGGGAACCAGTCTAGGAAAAATTGGGCAGCAACGTAAGTATTTCAGGCTGGATTAATCATCCAGTGGTTCTCCAAGTCTGGTCTCTAAAGCAACAGCATCAATTGCTGTTGGGGAACTTGTTATATATAAAGGCTTGGGCCCTACCTTAAACCTATTGAACCAAAAGCTCTGGGGATGAGACCGAGCAATCTGTGGTTTAACGAGCCTCCCAGGTGATTCTGGTGCTGCTAGAATTTGAGAACTTTGCAACAGTGAACTACAGTAGACACAATGCTTGGAGGGTAAACACGGTTGGATAGGGGGCAGGGCGCTAGGCAGAGATGTTGCTGGAAGGATGGAGAGAAAGGATATCAAAAAGGTCTTTATATGTTATGAACATAATTTTGGGACTTTACCCAAGCAACAGGGGAAAACCATTAAATATTATACTACAGGTACGGAAAACAGCAAATTAAGTTGGCAACCATTAAAAACCATATGCCATCATGAAGACAGTACTGTACATCATTCCAGAGACAAGGCACTGCACAGATCAACAGCCAGTTAGAAAGGAACAAATCAACCCTACCTTTCTTTCTGGAGTCTTTCTTGGCGCTGGTTTTCACAGCTACTTGAAGTTCTGTCTCAGTTGACATCCTACTAAATCCTTAGTCCACTTCACACAGATCCCGGGCCTCGGCCAGGCTCATGGAGGATTCCTCTCCAAGAGAACGACTCCTCCCTTCAGAAACAATGCCCCGAGCTGCACATTTCATTCACTCCTTCCGCGTGCTACAAATCAAGGAAGAGGACGTTCAGAATCATCACCCTTTTGAGGTTAAACAAAAATTAGTGGGAAGAGGGGAAATGAACAGTCAGATATACAAAAACAGGAAAATCGTGGTCTCCCTGTGCAAACTGCGCACACAATTTCATCAAGTCGTTGGCGGGGTATGGAGCGAAGGGAATGAGAGGTCTATCTGAAAAACTGTCTCTCAAACTAGATACCTAACTCAAAATAGATCTTTTAAAACTGGATTTTCAAGAAGGACAAAACCCAACTTCTTGTTTTCCATGTTTCTTGCTTTCAAGCACTAGATGCCACCCAGAAAATACAGCAAAGGCCCATTTCCTGAGCAACCCCGGGGAGACATTTCCAACAACAGGGCACCCATCCATCAGCCAGGCTTGATCAGAGCCTTGGCAGCTAAAGCAGATCATAGGGAAGTGACCTGTGGTCTGTCCCTCACTGCCAGGCATCAGAGGGGACATGGAGTTGACATTCAATTGGGCTCCAAGGGTAAGGTGACAAATGGGGCCGAGAAACTTTCCAGCAAGCCAATTTTTATGTCAGCTTTTTCCTGGGCTATAAGAGCAGACAAGCATTTAATGTGAGGAGAAAAAGAAAAGAATCAGGCAGCCACACAGTCCCTTCATTCTTTCTTTAATAAATATGCATTGCACACTACTAGGTACTATTAAGTTCCGACACTGTGCTGGGAAGAGATAATAATGATAATAATGATAATACAACCACTTCAATTACAGCTAGTATTTACTATGCACTTACTATACACTATGCCCCTAGCTACTGCTTCACATACATTATCTCATTTGATTTCATTTAAATTGAATGAATGTATTTCCTGTGTCAAGTCAACAGTCTTTCCCGGTGACTATCTATCGGATAGTTATATGTGAGAGTTCAGTTGAAAATAAACATTTCACTAGTTATCCATTTTTAAAGAAAATTAAGATAAAGCTACTAGAAATGGATCTTTAAACCGTGCAGCCAATCCTTAGCTCATCCCACTTAGCTAGAATGCTTGAATCCAGAAAGGCTGACCTGAATGCCAGTTTCTGTTCAAAAAGAGTAGTAAAATGAACCTCTTAGTCATGACAACTAAAGATGGCTTAACTAGAAGATCTAATATAAAAGTCACATAAAATACGGTACGGTTTATGTCCTCTAGATTCATCCATGTTGTTACAAATTGCAAGAAATGATTATGCTATGTGAAGTAAGTCAGAGAAATACAAATACCATACGATTTCACTGATATCTGGAATTCAACAAAATAAACGAAGGAGAGACAAATACACTTTTATATACAGAGAATAAACTCGGGGTTGCCAGAGGGGAGGGGGATGGGGATGGGTAAAATCAGTAAAGAGGATTAAGAACACACTTCTCGTGATGAGCACTGAGTAATGCATAGTGATTGAATCATTATATTGTGCACCTGAAGCTAATAGAACACTGTGTGTTAATTATACCTGGATGAAAAAAAAACACAACAATGAAATAAGTAAAATTAGAGTAAGGCTCGATAATGGGGAAATTCCCACCTTATCCAAAGATACTTGGTTTGTTTATTTGTTAACAACCTATCTACTTATAAAAACAAAACAAAACAAAAAAAAAAAAAACATTGGCCCTGACTGAAAGGAGTCTGAGGTACAGGATACAAAGCCACAACCAAGGAAAATGGAAAACTGTCTTCCTAGAATGGGGTCCATAAAATCATACACAGAAAATGAGAACTTTTCCTGCTACCTTTGTGCCATCTATGTGGACCACACCACTAGCCCTCACGCCCTTTCTTACCTCTCTCCCGACAAAAGACAATGCTCCAAGGGAGCTGACAGAGCCACACACTTTCATCACTCATGGACATAATTCATTTTATTAATAATACTTATCATTTCACTGCAATGAATATCTACTAAGAACGTACCATGGGCCAAGTGCAAATGCTGGCTCATTTGCGTCACAAGACATCAACTGTGCAACCACACCGGCTAAGAGTACAGATTATTTCTGTCCTCAAAGATAGAGGAGCAGAGATGTTAGTCACGTAAGGGACTGTAATACACACAACCAGAACTAAAACAAATACCAGGTGTACTGGAGAACAAAGGAGCAAGCATTCACCTTTTCTTGGAAGAGTCAATGAGACCTCTCAGAGGAGGAGCCCTATACTGTGCTGTCTTGAAGAATAATTCTTATATCAAGTGGATAACAAGAGGAAGGACCAAGGGGCACTCAATAAATACATGTCTAAAAAATAAATGAATGGTAGTTTCAGGCAAAAGGACCAGCTGTGTGAAGTCAAGGAGACTTGAAATCAACAGCCTAACTGACAAAAGGAGACATAAGTCTAGTAGGGAGGTAACGTACTTTCACATCTTCCCAATTTTTCCTTATGCTGTTACTTTTCTAGGGACTCTTTCTTCTCCAGTCTGCCTTGACATTCTATTGACCCCTCAAGGTTCAGTTCAAAGAAGTATCTTAGGCAGAAAGGTTTTCCAATCTCTCGATTACATAGAATCTCTCCCTACTTATATTATGATCTGCTTTTTGGCAAGCTGCATAGTTTCAGCCACTTACAATCAAGATCATATTAAGGAAGTTACCAACCCTTCTTGGCCTCAGTTTCTATATGTGTACAATGGGGGTAACAGTGTCAACTTCATGGAGTGGCTGCGGAAATTAAGTGTGAACACACACATCACATGTTTGGAAGAGGGTCTGCCACATCTCCTGGAAAACATATAGTAAATGTGAGGCACTAATAATTTCCTGGGTTAACTGCTCAAGGTCATATGGGGGTATGTGACTACAAGTCCATACTATTATCCTCCCTTGATAGAATAAGAAACTAAGGCAGGTAAAGTCTGCTCTGTAAAGACACTGCAGGAAGAGATAGAATCTATCTCTTGTCCGTCGTGCTTGTTTTGCACACGGTAGGTATCGAACCCATAAATAACAAAAGAAGCTGAAATATATAGAA